GGCCGGAGTGGCCGTGGCATCATCATACCCTCACTGGCAGGCGCGGCGCAGCGGCCGTGGGCCGAGGCGATCCTCCCGCCGTCAAGCTTCCTAGTGAGCTGGGCTACAAGGTGTGCACCTTCCAATGGCCAACGGCCTGGGCTAAATTTCTGTTTTTTGAAGAGACAGGGTCTGGCCTGTTGCTCAGCTCCAAACTGTCGCCCCCTAGCGTCAGCCTCCCAAAAGTGCTAGGAAACAGGTGTGGACCACCGTGCACTGGCCAACTACTGAAAATAGTAAGAAAGACGGTGAGAAAATGTCCACACCAAGGTCTATAGCGCTTATGCGCTAGACCAATCTGCAACTTGGGTTTGGAGACAGAGTCTTGGGGGCTTTGTTGCCGCAGGCTAGGAGTGAGTGCCATCGGCGTCAGCCTCGGCTCCGACAGGCAACCCCAAACTCCTGGGCGGCAAGCGATCCTTGCTGCGGGGGTCAGCTCTCGAGTACTGTGACTGACAGGCCAATCGCGCCACCGAACGCCGGGGCGAGAGTTTTAGTAATACTGAGCAGCGGCAGTGGCCAAATAATTTGCTTCTATTTTATGAGGTAAGAGAGCGGGGTCTTGGCTGTCTTCTTGCTCACGTGGTTCGAACTCCTGAGCTCAAATGATCCGGCGGCCGCCCCAGCCGCGCCCAGAGAAGCGTTAGGATACAGGCGTGACCACCGGCGCCCTTTTTTTTTTTTTGAGACAGAGGGCTCCACTCTGTTTGCCCCCGCGTCGGCTCGAGTGGCTGTGGCATCTGCCCTAATCTCACAGGCCAACCGCCGATTCCTGGGCTCAAGCCAAATCTGGCTCAGGCCTCAGCCGCCAAGGGGCCTGGGACTGACAAGCATGGTTCTACCATGCCGGCTAAGTTTCTCTATAGTATGGTATGTTTAGTTTGAGGGGTCCCAGCTAAGTCTTTCTCACTTTTTTTTTTTTTTTAGTAGAGACGGGGGTTTGCTCTTGCTTATGCTGGTCCTCCGGACTCCTGAGGCTCAAGACAATCCACCCACCTCAGCCTCCACCGTGCTTGGCCTGCAACAATTTTTATTATAAATTTAAATTTTTTTGAGACAGTGTCCCACACTGTCTCCCTGACTAGAGTGCAGTGGTGTCATCATAGTTTACTGCAACTTCAAACTCCTGGGCTCAAGCGATCCTACTGCCTCAGCCTCCCAAGTAGCAGGGACTACAGGCATGTGCCACCACCACACCTGACTAATTTTTCTGTTTTTTGTAGAGATGGAGTCTTGCTCTGCTTCAGGCTGGTCTCACTCCTGACCTCAAGCGATCCTCCTATCTCAGCCTCCCAAAGTGCTAGCATTACAGACATGAGCCACCGTGCCCAGCCTTGAAAACCTTTTTTTAAACCCTAACTCTACTGTAACCTTTTTATGATTAGTATTCAATATGACCAATCATACTTATCTAGGTTATATTGCTGATAAAACCCTTTATACTATAATAGAGGTATTTGTGCTGAGTTACCTACTTGTTCATTTTTTTTTTCTGGTTTATTTTATTTTATTTTTTCCATATGCCTTTCAACCCATACTTGTTCATTTCTTCACCTTCCAAAGTGGATCAGAGTGGGGACTGGGCAGGTGTCGAGGGAGGAGTGGATGGGTAAATTCACACCTAATGAGTGCAGTGTGCACTGTCTGGGGGCTGGGCATGCTTGTAGCTTTGACTTGGTGGTGCAAAGGTAATTTACGTGACCAAAGCATTTGTACCCCCGCAATATTCTGAAATTAAAAAAAAAAAAAGTAGATAAGAGCAAGGTGGATATATAGTGCAGAAAATATTTTACAGGTATAAAACAGCTAAGGTTTTACTTAACTTTTCTGACAGAATAAAAGTGTAGGTTTTATTAGTCAACCACAGTCACAATACAATCATCGTAGATTTCCCCTTCTGTATTCATCCCACCAAACACAAAACAGACCAACACATCGGTCTGGCTTTCCTCACATGAGTCACCACTCAGGGTTACTTCTTTGTTGGCTGAATTCCCTTTCTCAGCTTCACAGTTCAGAGTGACGGAATTTGAATCTTCTTTCTCAGAAGAACACATCACTGGCCAAGGAATGACACACATGGAATGGTCCAATCGTCCAGGGGGTAGGAAAGTATCAAATTTAAGTAAGGTCCATTGCTGTTTTTCTATGTTAGGGAAAAAAAGAAAGGTTCCATGTTAAATTTCCAGACATGCTCAGTGATTTACTATATTAGCTGATTTACAGAAAATAAAGAGGATAAAAACCTAACGGCAGTGCTACTGCTTTAATGACGCATTCCTTACAAGTTTAGATTTCATACCTTTGGATTTGGAATATGGAGCAACCAAACTGAAAAACCAAAGCTCTGTGTCACTTTTTACAGAATGTTCACATCTGTTTAAAGACCCCAGAGAGGCACCTGCTCACCTATGTGATATTGATACATCATGTCCAGTGCTCCAGTGGGAGTCATTCCACCGAAGATGTAGATGTGCTTCCCCACAGCCACAGCTGAGTGGGCAGCACAGCCTCCTGGGGCAGCCCCCGTGGGGCTTAGCTTCTGCCATTTCATGTCACCTGCCAAGAGAAAGTGTAAAGTGTTTTTATTTTTTTTCCCCTCCATTTTACAGATGGAGAAAGTGTTTTATTTAGCACAACATAGGCTAAAATATGGTTTCAAACTTAGCCATCTGCTACAGTGTGCAAGCCAATCACTGAAGGTCATTCACTAAGAGCTCTGAGACGTAATATGGCAAAGTTTGGTGTGCATAAGAGTTATTTAGGGGAGCTTAAAATTCTGATTGGGTAGTCTAGGGAGGGAGGGAGGGGCTCAGTAATAGAGTATTAGCCAGTGTCCCAGGTGATTCTTATGTAGGTGGTCTTTGGAACACACTGAGAAATGTGATACAACCTTCTTTGGTTGTATCTGGCACCTTTAACGGTTCACTATTAATTTCCAGGAAGTAAGTAAGGTTCTGTGTGTGTTTTATACATCAACAGTTCCTCAAAAAGCAACTTTGTGAGTGCTGCCTAGACATTTTCAAAATTTTGCTCACTTCTCCTAACAGTCCTATAAAATTGCTATTACTTCTGTCTACCCCCTTTCTTCTTACAAATAAGCAAACAGAGGCCGGGCGCCGTGGCTCACGCCTGTAATCCTAGCTCTCTGGGAGGCCGAGGCGGGCGGATTGCTCAAGGTCAGGAGTTCGAAACCAGCCTGAGCAAGAGTCTCACTGCTGCATGAAGTCTTAAAAAAAAAACAAAGACAGCCTGCGTAACATGGCAGGACCCTTCTTTAAACTAATTTAACGGTGCTGGCTCACGGCCTGATCCTAGCCTATGGGAGGCGAGGAGATCACTCAGGTAGAGTTCACAGCTGAGCAAGAGCGAACCGGTCTTATAAATAAATAAATTATTTGGGCTTATAGAATCTATTAGGAAAGAAAATTAGCAGGCATGGTGGTCATGCTTGTAGTCCAGTATCAGGAGATGGGCTGTAGGTCACTTGGACCAGGAGTGTTAGGTTGTGTGAGCTAAGTGACGCCATGGCCATCACTCTAAGCCTGGGACAAAGGTGAGACTCTGTCTACACAGACAAACACAAAAAAAAAAATTAGGAGGAGGGTGAGCAATGGGATTAATCCTTAACCTTAAACACTGGTACCCATAATCGTAAATACAATAAAATAAATAATAATATAATATAATTAAAAATAGCCGGAATGGTGACTTAAACAGGTCCTTCATATTGGGAGCTGAGGAGGAAGGTCTTGACCAGAAATTCAGGTGCGTGACTATGATCGACAACTGTCTTAGCCCGGGAAGGCGGATTATTATAAATGATTACATGATGCATGAATAATAAATGAATATTGTTTGAGAAGGTGCAAATATCCCTGAAAAAATAGGTTGGAAGTAGGTGCTGAGGCAGCATTACTCTGGCAGCTTTGGAGCTGTCTGAATACGATTTACTTGCCACTCCAAGGTGTAGGGGATTGGGACAAATCTTTTTTTGTTTAATCCTGTTTGTTATGTGTAAGAAGAAGGGGTGAAGCGTATAGCGTTTATAGGATTGTTAGGGAGAAGTGAGAAAAAATTGAAATGTCCTAGAGCACTACAAATGCTTTTGGGAACTGTTGTGTATAACAACACCGAACTTACTTATTCCTTGGAAATTAGTGACGTTAAAGGTGCCGTACCAAGAGTTGTATCACTTTCAGTGGTGTTCCAAAGACCCACATAAGATCCTGGACCTGGGCTAATACTCTTTACTGGCCCTCCCTCCTCCTAGACTACCATCAGAAATTTAGCTCCCTAATAACTCTTATGCACACCACTTTGCCATATTACGTTCAGGTTCTTAGTGAATGACCTTCAGTGTTGTTTACTGTAGCGATCGGGTAAGTTTGAAACATGTTTTTGAATAGCTATTGTAACAGTGCTTGTTTCCA